TGCAAATATTTTTGCGATTTTTCATAAGACGATGATATAACCAGCATTTAGAAAAAAGATACAGATACAAACAGATAAAAATCGTTGTTATGTGAATTGTATTGAGTTGATTTGTCGCAATTACCAATCTCTGCTCTTATCTCATTTAATTTATAACACTTAAGAAAATTACAGCAAAACGCGCTCAACTATTATAGTAGATACATTGAAATTTCTTTAATTAATTATTTAAAATTTCATCTCAAATGAAACTGAAAGTCTAAATCGTCTACAAATGTGGCCGAAAGCATAAAAAGTTGCTTATGTCATTTCATTAACTAATTTGCATAAATTAATTTGGCTTTAAAATTTTAATTCGCTGTTAAATATATTGTATAAAAAAAAAATATAATAATTATGGTGTGCTAATAAGTAAATTTATTAGACGTTGAGATAAAATATAGAAAAGTTGAAATGGGCATCAAATATGAACCAAAATTATTTTTATGGTAACGTTTCTGCTTCATTTCATTCGAAGTAGAAAAAGTGCTTCGATTTGAAAATGATGTAAGAAAACTCTATCATAAAAATATCATAAAATCCATATTTTATTATTTTTATATAATATGGTATTATGCACATTTTTTTTTATCTAATATAAAAGTAAGTGCAACAATATTATTGAAGGTTGTACCAAATTAGTACAGAAGTTAGCAAACAAAAAACCATCTCAAAATATTAATGGGTGTAATTCCAATTTTATGGAGACTGTGATTAGGCAATGAATAGCAGTAAATTTAAATATTCTATTAAATTTTTAGAGAAGTTTTGAAACGCAGTGAATTATAACAACAAAAATTCTTTTTATATGTTTCTTATTAATTGCATTTTTAGTTGATCATACAGCCAAATAGGTTTTGGGCATTGCCGAATACTCATCGTCAGGTGTCTTGGATATAATACTTGTATTTAATTATTCGTAAATAAGTACTAAGATTGAACACGTACCCTGCCCTAAACAATTTTTACAATTACGCTATACACCGATATATAGAGCTTACTTCTCGGGATATGAAATTTTAAAGTTGTTGACATTCTACATTATATGCAATATTTTAAAGACTGATATCATGAAAGTTGGTGGAAAATGCAGGATTACTCTTTTTGTGGATTAGACAAAGCATACAAATATGATTTGATGTCCATCCGACCATATTTTGCGAATTGGATACAGAATACTTAATAATTCTTCGTCAGTAGTAGTTTTGTTGTTGTTGAGTACTAGGCGTATTTGAGTATTATGGCTTATTTGTTTAATATACTTTTTCTTTTATTAGAAGCCAAGGAGCTGAAATGCAGAGAAAGTTATTAATGTGAGAATCTATAAGTTGAGACTTGCTATTATTCAACTTAAAAGAAAACAAAATGCGACTATATATCTTCCTCTATAAAACTTTATAAAAGTGAAACATAAAAAAGTATCACTGCAATACGATTCAAAACTCAGACCACTATAAACCAATGTCAACGAAGAGACTTGGGCAACTAGTGTCCTAGAGAATATCTAATATCGATCTGGTCAAACTGGAACAAAAGAAGAACTTCAGAAATGCAAAATTTGGTAAAGAACACATATATATAGTCTACTTCGGCTAATACT